AAGTATCAGGCTGGCGGAACTGCCAACCCGCTGCCGAGCTGTCCGGGCTGCCCCTTCGCCCCCGCTAACGCCCACACGTGTATGGGTTCAACACCGAGCACTACAGCTTGCCCTGGGGAAAAAAAAAGTTTTTTAAAAAGGAAAAATCTTGAGCTGCCCTACTGCAAGGTTTGCGGCTGCAACTGCACTCGCAGCAGACTGCTTAAATAACAAACGAGGAGTTAAAAAAGCAAACCAGCTTTAATATCTCCAAAATCCCAGTTAGAAGCAGTTTCACAGAAACGTCATTTTTATCATGCAGTCGAGGCTGGAGGAGGGCAGCAGGAGGAGAACCAGACGCCGTATCCTCGCGGCAGACACAGAATTCATCCCCCGAGTCCTCAGAAGTTCTCCAGCAGGTCCAGGATCCGCTTCTGCTCACTCTCCCGGAACTCCTGGTTCTTCCCGTCCCCGATGTTCTCCGCGTACTCTGCGGGGGAGAGAGCAGACAACAGGCTCTGAGTGAGACCCTAACCAGCGACAGCAGCTTCTCGTGCAGAACCTAAACCTGGCTTGGGAACTCATCCAGGGAGCACTGAGGGGATTTCTCCCTCCCCAGGGATACAGCTCTGCACCACAAACACCTGCTGACACCCCACTGAAAGCTTTCGTAGTCCAGAGACCGCAGCAGGACCGTCGAGGCAGCACCATGAACCCCAGCAGAGACCAGCACCGCTCCCCAGGGGCTGACCACGCACAAGGGCAACGGTCCCGGTGCTCCCCCCAGCTCCGGGCATCCCGGCAGAGCAGCCCCCCGGCAGCTGCTGGAGCTGGACACTTGTGCCACTGGCCTCTCTCAGCCTGAGAAATTCAAACCAGTCTGGACCACGCTGGCTCTCCGGGTCCTTTTAACACCGAGCAGCATCAGGGACAGGCAGGCGGGCGCTGGGACAACTGCTCAACGTTCCTGACCCTGGGTTTAACCCCTCTGCTGTCCACACACCCCCAGTGAGGATTTTTGTCACGGGGAGACCAATTCTCCAGCCTACAAGTGCTTTTAACCAACATGGAAGAAAACAAAGCAGTTCTGATTTAACCACAAAACAAGCCCCTTGTCTGCAGGCAGAGGACACCAGACCCCGCTCCAGGTCCTGCCAGACGCCGGGAACCAGCCCTTCCCTCCGCCGCAATCCTTCCTGACACCCAGGAAAAGCTGCCAGCTCCCACCCCATACCCGCTCCCTCCCTCCTGCCACCAGAACCTGCACGTTCAAAGGTGGTTTCAAAAGAAAAAACCGAAAAGCAGGTTGTGAGCTGTGAAAGCAGGCGCTGAACAAATCTTAGTAAATCAGGAGCAGCCTGCCTGGTTAGACAGAGCGTCCCAGCCTCCGCCTCCTCGCCTTCCTCCCTTCTTCCCAAACACATGGAACAGCTTGTGTTCAGCATCTGAATGGGAAGTTGCTGTAGAAAGTTTGCTTTAATATTTATACGTTCAGCACTGCTACATGCCTCTGAGCGCCATCAAAGCCTTTATTATAAGAGCCCTGAAAGGAGCGAGGACAGGGAGAAGTTAGCTGACGTGGGAGTCTTCCCTCCTGCGCACACGCCCGCTCTCCACGTACACGCAGCGAGCTCTTTGCCAGGGCCTCTGGGAGAAATCCTTTTAATAGTTATAGACTGCCACAGCACCTGGAACGAGAGCGGGCGGGCAACGCTGAAGTTTGCTGCAAGTGAACCCCCCTCCTGGCTGTCCTGGAGAGCGGGGACCGCACAGGGAACTCGGCTGGAGGAGGAACTCTCCATCGCAGCAGCTGGCGGAGAGCCGAGGGCTCCGTCCCCCCTAAGCCCGTCCCGTGCTGTGCCAAGGGCTCCGTCCCCCCCGAGCCCGTTCGGTGCTGTGCCGAGGGCTCCATCCCCCCTGAGCCCATCCCATGCTGTGTCGGAGGAAGCACCTGCGATTGCGTGTTCTCTGCAGCCCCAGGACAA